ACTTGATGAAAAGAGTGTGCCAACCCCTGGAATAAACAGATTATAAGCTTCTTGTGGACAGTACCTGGGTCTCAATATTCCTCCTACTTCCTACTCTCACCAACAGCACTGAACCGCGCAAATAAGGGCATGCTGGCTAAGGAATACAGAATTTGGACTCACATATTCCTATTTGGCCTGAAATCTCTACTTAATGTTTGCTTGGCCTTAAGCAAGTGATTTAACCTTTCTGAGTCTCGGTTTCCTCATCTGCAAAATGGAAATGAGTATATCAACCTCATACAGTTGTTAGGATTTTTAAATGATTTAATGTATGTAAAATCCCATGTACGGTGTCCGGAACATATTAAACATTCCATAACTGTTACTGACATAATAATGGCTGTTTTTATTAAGGGAAAGACATTTTAAACCCACTTCCCTAATAGAAAAAAAAGTAGGGAAGAAACACATCTTGCCTTTCTCACCAGTCCTTACATATTCCCCCTCTGGGAAGGAGACACTCATCTAGAAGGAAGAGTTGAGTATGCACAGTTCAGCCCAGCCACCCGTTTCCCCAGCCCCCAGCCCCCTCTGAGATGCGTTTTCCACGAGACACACACCTTTTCGGTTACTGCAGAAGCAGCCTGCTTAGGTGCGGAGTGGGGGGGTGAGGGACGAGGCCTGATCCCACCTGCTCTGCCAGTGTCCCGTGGGCCATGCCCAGCTCAGGGCAGATGTGTGCAGAAGCCCATGTGCTCAGCAGATCAAGTCTGTGTTTTCCAGTTCAGCTCCAGTTGCAGTGGAGCTAACATTGTGATCACTTTCTGATTCTGGTATCTCCCTCTCAGTTGGTTCCACCCTCAGTAGGGGAAGACAGGGGTGTTTTGCATTGCTCTCTAAAACTCCAACAGCTGTATTAGAAATTCTTATTGAATTGAACATATTTTCTGACCCATGATGCGCTTGAATACAAAGCAGACTAGTTAGGAGCTGTCTCCAGAACCTGGCTGCTGAGGGGCTGGGCAAGTCGAATGATGGCCTTCCCTGCCTCCTGCGGTGTTCGTGGGGCTTACCTGAAGGAATTCAGGCAAAGCTCTTGGAACACGACATGAGCTTTTTTTTTTTAAACACCTTTTCATTTTATTTATTTATTTATTTATTTTATTTATTTATTTATTTGGCTGTGTTAGGTCTTTGTTGCTGTGAGCGGGCTTTCTCTAGTTGCAGCGAGCGGGGGCTACTCTTCGTTGTGGTGTGCGGGCTTCTCACTGCGGTGGCTTCTCTTGTTGCAGAGCACGGGCTCTAGGTGCGAGGACTTCAGGATCTGTGGCACGTGGGCTCAGTAATTGTGGTTCACGGGCTCTAGAGTGTAGGCTCAGTAGTTGTGGCACACAGGACTAGTTGCTCCGCGGCATGTGGGATCTTCCGGGAGCAGGGATCGAACTCGTGTCCCCTGCATTGGCAGGCGGATTCTTAACCACTGCGCCACCAGGGAAGTCCTGACATGAGCTCTTTATCAATATTACATGTATTAAAACATTGTTTTCTGTTCTACATGTTATATATGTCAATTGCAAAAATAATTGGAGAGTGTCGTGCTAAGCACTTTCTACAGATTTCTCATTTACTTGGGCTGTGTAGCATAATAGCTAGACCATGGTTCAGAGGAGATCACCTGGACCTACCAGGCAGGTGAGAGAGTGAATATGTAAAGAGAGAATTTATTTATTTATTTATTTATTTTTATTCTTTTTAAAGGATGGTCTTTTATTTTTTATTTATTTTTTGGCTTGCCGGATCTTAGTTCCCCAACCAGGGATTGAACCCGGGCCCTCTGCAGTGGAAGCGCCGAGTCCTAACCACTGAACCATCAGGAAATTCCCAAGAGAGAATTTTAAACAGCATCTGGTGTATAATCAATAAATGCTAGCTGTTTTATTGTCACTGTTGCTTTTGCTACCATTATTATTATTGGAAGCTCACAAGTGGCCCAAGCTGTGAGCAGTTATTATTATGCACATTTTACAGAGACAATGGAAGGTTAAGTAACCTGGCCAAGGCCAGCAAGAAGTGAGAGGCACAGCTGTGACTTGAATCCAGGTCTGTCTGACTGCCAAATGACCATGCCACAACCCGGCACTTGAAAGCTCCAGTGACTCTGAACTTCCTGCTCTTCCCTAAACAAGGTAAGCAATTCCATGCCCCTATGCATTAGCTCATCGTATTGTCTCTGGCTGAGAAGTCCCTGTGTCCCCCCAAATTTCAGCATTTGAAACGCAGCTTAGACATCACCTCTTCTTGAAGCTTTCTTTGACATTTTACTACATCTTGCAATCCCCAGACCCAACAAAGCTACTCTTTTCTGCACATGGCCCTTGGGTATTTTATCTGCCATGCCACTACTGTTACTGGCTCAGAATTAATTCTGAGGGTGTCCATATCCCCTAGGAGATTGTGGACTTCTTGTGGCCTTTTCATTTCTAAATTCTCAGTGCCAAGAGCAGTGCTTGGCACGGAGTTGTTAACCAATAAATATTTGTTGCATTAAATATAAGAAATCATCAACTGTATGCACACGACAGTGACCAGCTCATCCTGGCTTGTCTGGAACTTTTCTGGTTTTACTACTGAAAGCCCTGAATCCCAGGAAACCGCTCGTTCCCAGGCTAACTGGGATGACTGGTCATCCTAATGTATATACTTGTTCACCTACAGATATATAGACAATACTATGGAAATAGACCTTAGGCAGACATGAGTCCCGGCCCTGCCAGGGGGATGGTACCTACAGAAGACTGCCTTTCTATTCATTCATTCCTGTGCTAAGCACTCAGGAATGCGCTGGGACTGCTAATAGGAATTTCCCCTGCTGGTAGGCAGGCGCTGGCCAGAGTCTCCAGAACTACCCAGCTGGAAAGGGCCCAAAAGATATAAATCTCCCCAGAGAGCATGGCCTAAGCAAGCTTTTGGCTGCTTTTGATGGGATCCTAATAGGATCCACAGCCTAGGGAGGTATGATCAGCAGCATCTGGATGGCCAGGGCAGCCCTGCTCTGTGACCTGTCCTTTGCCAGCATCCATTCATCACATCGTTAGCACCCTGAAAAGAGCCTTTCACCGGCGCAATCCTACTCACCATTCTGTTGCTTTTCTCCTGATGACTTCTCAGCTTTGGAACTTTTCCCACGAGGGCTGTCACTTTGGTTTGTTCCTGTCCCGTTGACTTGATTCTTAGCTTCCCCAGATGCCTTCTTCTCGGCTTTACCGGATGCACCTTCTTGAGCCTGGCTTTTGGCTTCCATTTCCTTTTGCTTCTCCTCTGCAGCCAGGCGAGCCTTTTCCTCTGCTTCCTTCTTGGCCTTCTCCTCTGCATCCAGAACAAGCCAGGAAAGGTGGAGAAAATGTAAAAGGAGGTCCTGCCATTAGGAGAATTGCCTCTTTGAACAAAAGCAAGAATTTGCATTGGGAATTAATGCATTAAAATGACCTAAGGTGTTTACTGTGTGTTTGGGGTATAATTTTGGTTAATTCAAGTCAGATTGGTATGTATATTCAGGAAACCAATAAAATCTGTTCATGGTGATGTCATTTCTGAAAACAGTGGGTCAGAAGAAGAGGATGGGGAGAAAGTAATCATAAGGATAATAATAATTAATAAACCAATCCTGTAATTGGCATTATTAATATTAATATTACCATTAATAAGTTTCTTGAGTGTGTCCTCTATGCCAGGTATTATACTAAGAGCTTTCCAAGGATTACGTCCTCTTATTCTCAACCTCATACAGCAGCTACTATTATTGTAACCCTATTTTACAGATGTGGAATTGAGGCTCAGAGACATTACAAAGCTCTCCCACAGCCCAGTAAAAACTGAAGTTTCATGTAGATTTGCTTAGGAACTGGACTTTAAACATAAAAAAACTGATTACAAACCCAAAATACAGGGAAAATAACCACCACTAGAATAATACTGTTGCAGGCCACTGTCTGTAAATTTAAAAGTAGGAGGAGGGTAATTAGGCCTCACAAAAAACCATGGTCTTCAAACTGTCCACAGGGTGAGAGGTGGCCTTTAGTTTGGCCAGGGATGCTGGTCTGTGTCTTCCTCTTTAATGAGAGGATGTCAGCCATATTTCCAATTTGGTTGACTGTGAAAGGGTCTGGCTCTGTGTTTAATCAAAAACATAGTGTAATTGCCTATGGTCAAGGATTCATGGAAAAATGGATACATTCATTCAACTAATATTTATTGAGCAGCTACAGTGTCAAGTACTGTTTTAGGCACTGGGAATACAGCAGCAAGCAAGAAGACTTATAGAGTAGAAAATACCATAATTAAGCAAACAAATCACTAGGATAATTTCAGATGGTGAAAAGAGTTTTACAGAAAAGTAAAGCAGAGTAATATGATGGAACGCGAAGTCTGAGATCATGCAGAGCCTTGGAGGCAGTGAAGTGGAGCTGGATTGTAGGAAGTAACCTACAGAGACCAACAAAAGGCACCTAACAGAAACTAATCCTCCCTTAAGGTCTACAGACTCACTGCCTAGCATTCAATTCACTCAAAAGGGCTTCCAACCTCCACTATGAAAAGCATTATTGCACTTTTTTCTCTAGATGTGTTACAAATGCCCCACACCTCATTACCAGGGGTCTTCTTTACTTCCCTTGGTTAGCCCTGGTCCTGAAAACAGCTGGCTTTCGTAGATGACAAGTGAGATTTTAATCTAATGGGCACCAGAGTGGTTATGCATGTGATCACGTTTCCCTTTGTTTCAGCTGCTAAAGAGCACAAAGCCCAGATGTGGTTCCAGGTTCACACGTTCGCCGGGCTTTATGGCATTGTATTTTGTGCGTGTCTATGACCTCTGGCTTCATTTTACTCTTCCTGCCCTTACATTTGCCTGGCTCAGATGTCCTCCTTAATATTTTATGAAGTTTTCATTCATCCTTTCATTGATTCATCTAACCACCTATCCAAACCAATACCCTGGCCTCACCCCTGACAAATTAAGTCAGACTCTGGAGGGAGAGAGGCAAAAATAGGATATTTTTTAACGCTCTCCAGATGAGTCTAACATGCAATAAGGATTGATAAGCACCGATTTAAATTTTAAATGTTTGCCATTCAATATTTCATGATATTCTACTTCCCAACAGGATGTATTTATAATTTACAGTGAAAAGGTAACGAAAAATTTCTTAACAAAATTGCATAATTATGTGCCTATATAGTATAATATGTCTTCTGACTCCTACAGAAAGGTACAACTAAAGAGTAAAAGAATGCCCTTGCAGAAGATAGGGAGATGGCATCCTCAAGTAGGCTGCAGGCCAACAGAAGGCTCCCTAGAATGTTCGTCCAGACTTCCTCTCATCCTTCTGTAATGTCCCGAGGACAAAGGTCAAATGTCGTCTCCATCACTGAATTCCCAGTGCTTGGTATAACGCCTGGCACCTAGCAGATGCTCATGGAGTATCTGTTGACTAAATGAAATGTACACAGAGGGTGTGATTCACCCTATCTGCCAATGAACCTGACTCATATTCCATCATCAGCAATCCAGACCAGTATAAAATACAGGAACTATACACACCCTAAAGTCCTATCCTGAAAAAAATTAGCCATTTGACTGTATTTAACTATAGGTCAGTAAAAAGATGACTGTACTTACTACACAGAGAGGGAGAGAGGGCCAAGGGGGAAGAGAATTCATTTATACTCAGATATCAGGTAAAATAATGTATAATCCTCTCACAGAATCCCCACTGAATCTACTGCAAACTTTCAACATTCAAAATATCCCCAAGTTAAAAGTAATTTTGATGAAAGCTGAAGGTGTTAAATTCTGCTTTGCTACAAGAGTGCAACATATTATCTGAGCAAGAAAAATTCATTTGACAACTGAGTCAGACCAATTTTCTGTGGAAAATCTAGCAAAAACAACCCCCAAAACCGGGGGGTACATTTCAGAAACAAGTCTGTTTGGGCTCAACTACAGTTGACAGCAGGCAATTAGTGTTTAAATTAGTGAATGGTAGCTCTTATGACATCATAATCAGACCCGACATGATTCCTTTCTCTGCAGCAATCATGTTCCAATGGATGGCTCTGAAACGTTCCACAACTTCTCTACTCTACTCCTATCTCTTCTTTGTATCTCTGAAATATCTGATATTAGTGTGATCAGCCATCAGCATCCAGTGCTACTACTCAAAATAAGTACACAAAAACAAGCAAACACATAAATAAGAGAAAATAAATTGACCGAAGGAACATCTGTTCCACTGTAATCCAATCCCCTTATATTTTCAAGGTGAAATATTAATATACATAAAATCTTTCCTACTATGAGACAAAGTAGGTGACAGAACAATTAATTTGCATATGGTAACAGCTCCAGAGATGACATATATACAAAGAATGAACTTTTCAGGTTTTAGATTTAACATCCATGGGACTCCTAGGCTCCTAGACTAGTAGAAAGCAAACACTGTAGTTCAATCTCAGTTCCTTCTGCTTTCCATTTCACACCATCTGTAGTGATGTGATCATTATGAAAATGGCCAAAAGCAAGGAGCTAAAGACTTAAGGTAGAGCACAGCCCTCATGATCTATAAATTACATTCCTCCTGAGAGCTGGTCCTATCCCACACTGAATGTCTGTGCAGTCTTGGAGAAATACATTGATTTCTTCATTTAATTTGCCTTTCTGAATAATGATACTATAGGCTCTTGGTTAAAAATGATATTGGGCTAATTATTCCTTAATATAATTCTCTGAAATGCCTACCTAAACCACCTACAAATAGAGAGAGAAAGAAAGAAAAGGAGAGAAACTAACTTAATAAAGACAACCAAGATACTATGTGAATTCTGAATAGTCAACTTTTGATTATATACAAGAACAACAGAAAGGTACTCCCAGCCAATTCAGGACTCAGAAGATGTTCCCATTGGACCTTTCTAAAAATTTTAGCAAAAGTGCTTCAGCTGAAAGAAAAATTCAATCAACATTAAAAACTCAGAATGAGGGAATTCCCTGGCAGTGCAGTGGTTAGGACTCTGCACTTTCACTGCCGAGGGAGCAGGTTCAATCTCTGGTCGGGGAACTAAGACTCTGCAAGCCGCGCAGCGGGGCCGGAAAAAAAACTCAGAATGAGGAAAATATGTTAATGATATACAGTAAAACTAGTACGTCATAGTGTTAAATAAAAATAATTGTTAAGCTAGATATAAAACTTGATGCAAATATTTAAAATAATATTAAAGAATAAGTTAATTGTAAAATAGCAATTTACCTACAATCACCTAGGTTGAAAAGCTTTTATTGTTTCAATAAAAGCTGAGTTTTTAAAAACTCAATAAACTTCTCAGCACTTGCAAAGGAGTATCGTTATAAACTATTTCATATTTACCTTGATAGAGACATAATTCAATAAAAAATATGAAGATAATCTGTAGTAAAATAAAAATAGGATATATTTTAAAAAAACAAACAAAGTTAAAAGGTATAATATATGACAAAGTAACTAACTGGACAGAGGTAGGGCAGAAACTGCAAGACAGTTTGTCAACTGAAGAGTTACTATTCTTAATATATAAAAAGTTATTATTAATCAGTAATAAAAATATAAACATCCCAATGAGAAAAATAAAGGGGGAAAATATAGGGAAATGGCACTCTCGCTACACTTCTACTGAAAGAGAACACGGTTTAAAAAAAAAACTTTCCTGAAAGAAATTTGATAATATACATCAAGAGCTTTGGAATTTTTCATCTACTTTGACAGAGGAATTCCATATCTAGAAATGTACCCTAAATAATCAGATGTAGGCTCAAAGACTGCTGAACTTGTATGTTCATAACTATGTTATATACAATAATGAAGAACTAGAAACCAAAATGCTCAGTAACAGAGAAATGGTTCAACTATGGTATTCCAAACAATGTAGCCATTTACATCATATTTTCTAAGAATAGTCAGTATCAGAATAAAATCTTCAAAATAGAAATAGAGAAGGAAAATACTATATTACATACATTATAATCTCAAGGGGAAATTTTTACTTATAAATATGCATAGAAAACCGAATTAAAAAGAATTACATCAGAATTTCAACAGTAGTTATATTTGGCTGGAGAGGTTATGAGTGATTTTTATTTTCTTCTTTATATATTTTGTTTATATTTCAGCATGATAACCTAAACACCTACTATTCTTACACCAGAAAAAAATGTTTAAAAAGTATTAAATCCTGAATGGAAACTGATCAATATTTATCAGACTTGCAAATTGTTATACCTACATATCTTTGTTTGGGAATAATGATTTTCAGCCCTAAGAGCTGTAAAAAAATACTGATTCAATTTTTCCTCACAACTATGCGCTCTGGCCTAGCTAGCTTTGTAAATCAGTTTGATTAATAAAACTAAGACTTTAGATCCAATTCCATTTCTGATCAATTTAATAACAACATATATTCAAGTGCCCCATGCAGGGCAGCCTTTGCTGAAATCGGGGTTTTCTGGTAAAAAAGAATCATGAGCAAAACAGCCTGGAATAGTATAGCACAAACCAATCACCAATGGAAAAACAGATGCAAACTGAATTTCTTAATACCAGCCAACCAGCCAACGGCATTATTGGGAAGCTGAAAATGTTATAAAATATTAATTATAGGTGGGCATTTTGACCACCACCTTCTTAACTTTGCATTCAAACTTCTAACTTTCTTTTCCAGTTTTTCAAAATAACAGCTACTACTTATCAGGCACTAACCATGTGCAGGCTCTGTCCTCAGTGCTTTACATATGTAATTTCCGTTCTTTTCATCAACTCTGCGATGTCTATTATCATCCCCCCAAAGGGAATTTTTCTCAAAGACTCTGCCTGAATTTGCCAAAGAGCACAGGGCAAGTAGGGATTCAACTCTCTCTTTTCCCAACTTTTGCTTTGATACCCAAACTATCCTCCCACGAAATATATGTGTGCCTTTGTCTACCCCTTTTTCCTTGTTCTCCCTTTCCAAATTCATGGCTCAACCCCAGGCATCCTTTAAATCCTAGCTACAAGATGCCTTCTCGAGCACCCCAACCAAGGTTAGGGACAAGTTAGCTTAAGACTATCTCTATCAGCATACCTCACATATTTAAAAACTATTAGTGTTTATTTATCTGTTCTTTTTAAAGGGCCAATTTTCTCCTAGAAAAGAACTGTCTAATGCTCCCCCAGGTGATTAGTTTCAGAAGGTAATTTTAGCAAACGAATTATTTTGAAGCACCACTTTCAATTGCAGTGCTGTCAGGAACTGAATTTTCAAGTGTAACGAGTGTAATTGATGATAAGAGAGTGCTTCTTTGGGGGCTTCCCTGGTGGCGCAGTGGTTGGGAGTCCACCTGCCGATGCAGGGGACACGGGTTTGTGCCCCGGTCCGGGAAGATCCCACATGCCACGGAGCGGCTGGGCCCGTGAGCTATGGCCGCTGAGCCTGCGCGTCCAGAGCCTGCGCTCCGCAACGGGAGAGGCCACAGCAGCGAGAGGCCCGCAGAGAGTGCTTCTTTGAAATGATGCAGTAGCTACCATTGCTGCTTGCAGTGCCTGCCAACAGGGAGGATTTCAATGTTTAAAGCATCTGAATAGACTGTGAGAGGCCCCACCTAAAATATGGAAGAGGCGTTGGCTCCCTCCAGAGCTCAGGATGCAACCTCTGTCCCCAAATGATAAGGGTCCAATTATGCCTTAAAAGAGTCGTAAAGATAAACCCTTTGCCCCACCTGAACTGAACAGCCACTTGGACAGGATGCAGTGTTGGCCTTTGAATAACTCCAGCAGTGAGGTCTCATCTCTTCCACACTAGAAGCAGCCCCCTGCCCCCAATGTTTGAGGACCAAGACTGCCAGAATGTGCTGTGCCTGTCTACTCCTACTCTTCTCACTTGTGCAGACACTGGGTGGATAAAAGTGTGCGATGCTGTGACCGGAGATAAAACTTTCCTTGCCTATAATGAGTGTCTGGGGCTTGGGGCCAGTAGGTGCTGGGGATGAGTGCAAAGCTTCAACTGAACTCCCATTCTTACTTTGAAAGAAACTCTGTACAAATGCCTCCCTGCCCCACCCAGGAGACTGCGAGCTTTGAGGACAAGGATGTCTGTTATTCACCTCTGTGAATAACACAGAGTACAGAGCCTGGCATACGGCAGGCATTCAATAGATGTTGGCGAAAACTGACTGTTATTGAAGGCTCACCTCCACAAACTCCATTGAGATCAGTCTCCTTCCTGAGCTCTAGAGCCATCCACGTCTGTGCCCTCTCTGGAATCAGGCATCACAGCTTCCTAAGACTTACCTCAGGGATGTGTTCCTACCTAGACTATAGCATGAGCATGTAGTATGTACCAATCATGTAGCACATGCTCAATAGACACAAACATGCATATGAGCAAATGAATTTCAGCTTTCAGAAAAACAGATTTCAGGGTTTTTTGTTTGTTTGTTTCTAGTATCAAGAGTGATGACTTTTCTGTCTTCAAATTTCTGTTAGCCTGCACATTACCTTCATCTTAGAAGGTTAGCCTGAGTAATGGATGAAGGGAAATTGAGAACATGAAAGATAAAAATGCATGTAAGGAGATTAAAGCCCCTTCTATCCCAACATAATGGCCGAAGTGGCTACTGGCTAGGCTTCATTTAGATAAAAGAAGGAATAAAGGCCTCATAAATGTGCCGCATGACATGAAATAAGAATGACAAAATAGCCTAGCAGAAACCGAGAAATAGCAACACCCATTCTCTGTAGAATCTTCATTTCGAGAAGATTCTGGTCATATAGCACAAAGGTCACGCTGTCAGGAAGCTTGGTGGTCAGCCTCATTCTCTCGTGCACTGAGTGTTAGGTATAATGAAGATCAAAAGATGGTCGATCCTAACATTCAGCAATTTGAATTTATATCCTGAGTTTGTGCTTCATTTGCAACACCTATAAATCAGGGGCGGCAGTGCCTTGCTTTGTAAGCAGGTCTGAGTGGTCTGGATAATATTCCCCAGCAGCACGTTACCTTTGGGCACCTTGGCCCTCCATCTCTCCCGATTGACGTGCACCACCTCAGTCCAAGTGGCTTTAAAACTCTTATAGTCAACAGGGATGACTGAATTGTTGATTGGGGCACTTCCTTCTGAGCCAGAGCTCTTGACACCTGATCGCTTTGCATCTGCCGAACTGATGTTGTTCAAACTGGAGGACAAAAAAAAACCATATGGAAGAATTGGGAGATTGGGATTGACATACATACACTAATATGTATAAAATAGATAACTAATAAGAATCTGCTGTATAAAAAAATAAATAAAATAAAATTCAAAAATTCAAAAAAAAAACCATAAGGAAGAGGAGGGTTAGCGTTTGGAAAATGTGTGCCGATGAACAAGCCTAAGAGAAGAGTGGTTAACACTCAGTTAACACTCAATTTCACTCTGTGAAATTCCTGGGGCCTGAGCTTTGTAATTCCTATTTTCCATATTCAACAGCTGGGAAAGTCTCCATATTCAGCAGG